TATTGATTCCGTTTAGATTCTAGTACATCATTTTCATTTTTCAAGATGGAACATGAGCAGTAAACGAATTTTGTTTATTCTAAGAAACAAAGCAAAAATTTCAAATACGAGAATTTATCAACAAATTTGTTTCTGAACATCTCTCACAATGTGATCTAATATCGTAAGAGAGGATTAGCTGTGTACAAGCTATTAAAGTAGTACTCAAACAACAGCATTCCAGATCAATAACCGAAAAAGTATTGCTGGATGCAAAGTATAATTTGCCTGGTACGGACATTCATAAATTGGTTATTGATGCGGATGTTGTCAAAGGAAACTGCCGTTACTATACTATGGAGGATGCGAATATAGTGACTTCTAAAGTTCCAAATCAATCACATATAAGAGTCAAGTAGGCTCAACGAATTTTAATGCTTTTGTTCTCTTAAAGTTGCTTTCAATCTATATTTAAAGGAAACAAATCGTATCAGTCTTTCTGCTTAATTACTGAGAAATATTCAACAATGTATCAAAAGTTCATGCAATACTTCACGAATGGTCTAATTTGACCAAAAATACTTTAAAAGAAAGATTGCAGAATTTTTAATAGGAATTATCTTTTGTTTTTTCATGAAAATACAAAGTAAATGAAAAATTAAGTGGAATGACTATTTAGCGACATTGAAATTTATTAGTAGTCTTCGAATATCACGATTTGCAGTCCAAACGACGATGACAGACAAAATGACTCTGTGAAATAACTGCAACAGATATGAAACCAATTCAAACAGAATGATATAATAGAACTTCCGTTTTCTATGAAAATAAAAGATTATAGTTATCATAAATTTTAAGCAACCATCATGCGAACATGTATCAAATACCATTTTAAAGGGTTAACATATAAATGAAGCTTTCCTAACCAAACTGGCTCGTGAATGCAAAACCTAATTATAACTGCAGATCTTAATAATCTGCAAAAGAACCTTAACTTCTTGTTAACTTTCACAGAATTAGAGTCAGAAGAATTCATAACTGGAAATGCACACTCATAATATTCTTTCCTTGCACTTATAGAAACTCCAATTATACTTTCCTCACTCCACGACCTCGCAGATTGCAGCTTCGTTTTCCTCTAAAAGCTATATAAAGCAGTTCAGCTTTAGAAAATCAAAATAGATAACGGCAAAAGCCTTTATATTGTTGTAACACAATTGTGATTGCATCCACATAACCAGAACCGCCTCGTTCACCAAATGATACATGACCGCCAGACACGATAACGACAATAATGGTGATAATTGGCAATTATCATGCCTTTCTTTTTTAATTGCAGTATATTTAACGACTTTTCATCCAACTTAATCGTTTATCGAATTCATTTACTGAGTCCTTTCGTCAGTCGATATTCGTATAATTTTTTTCAGATCAAAAAAAATGTGATTTTTTATTATCAATTCATCATTAAACTTATGGTATGAGGAAGATAACTTCGAAATTGTCGGATATAAATTATAAAGCAAGCTAAATTTCGAACAGCAAAGTCTCTCATGATTCATGTATCACAACTATTCTCATTGCAGTGAAGATTTCTCATTCGAAAGTGTCAATAAATAAAGAACACATGCAATCAGTGAAAAATTATCATCTTCATTCTCACCGCATTTGTCTTTTCCAAATTCGCAAAGCATTTTAAGAAAAAGTCGAGCAAAAATTACTGATAAAACTAAAATAATACTCGATGAAAATATCACATCCTGCACAAAAACCAATATGCAACACTCTAACATGCTGCCTCACAGAAAGAAACATTTTCACCAACATATGTTCACTTATGCAAATTTTTTGAACATAATTCTTCGCCTGGAATGTTTTATTATAATGCTTAATAATTCATTTCATTTCCACCACTAAACCTGTTCTTGCTACTGTGCGTATAGCAGTATCCAAATAAGGTAATATCAATATCGTAATCCATCATTATGAACGCACCTCGCATAAATTTAATAGAAGAGATAGTGAACCTGTCTTAGAGAAACTTTTTAATAGTAGAAATAATGAATCTACCGTATATTGTTAACAATCTTCATTAATTAACACCTAACACACTGCTAACTGGACGCTTCTTATCATTACTCTGTTAACCAGTATCGTTTTTATCTACAGCATTACCACCAACTAAGTTGTTCCGCATTTTCTACATCTAAAGAAAACAAGGCAAATCAAAAAGCTACTGAGTAATTTAAAAACTTCGCAAAATGTCGTAAAATGCGGACCTATAAGAAACGAAACCTTAAAAATATTTCACAATTACAACGAAAATTCAAAATCCCTTCCCACCTAAACCACTTTTTAACGGGCATTGTGATACACGACTGTGGTTTCTGGGAGATTGTTCAAGACAAGGGGAGAAAAGATGTAGCAAAGCGGGATGATTTGTAATAGTTTCTGGTTAACGAGACAGATTTCAGGTAATACTTGTATGGTTCACAGAGTTACTTATTGCAAGTAGTCAACTGTATTTTGAGTTTGATCGAATGGATGATCGTGAACCATGGTAAGCTTTTTCGTAATATTATGTTACCTTTTCCACTAAATAACTGTCATTGTGTATTTCTTCCTCGTTAACTACGGCTTACACCCACCATTTTCAAATGTTTGATGCAATAAGTAATGGCTCTTTATTATTGTCTTTTATGATGCATAGGTTTTTCCGCTGTGAATGCAAATATTACATGTACCAATGATTGTGTCGCTGTTATTACATTTTTAAGTACACTTCTATCTCCGTTTTCCCTTTCCCTGGCTTATGTTTTGTGTCAAAGCACTATTTTAATCGAATGCTGTTTTTGCTACGACATATGGGGTTTGGATATAGCTGAATGCGACAGAGTGAGATTCACAGAACTGCTATTATGTCGTATATTAAATACTAATATTGTTTTTTATATCATTCATTCATTCACACCTTATTTATAGTGGACATTCATTTTGGACCAATAAGTTCACATTTTTCAGTCCCTACAGAATTGGAGATGATGTTGGTGGTGCATTTTCATTAGGTCTAGCTGGCGGATCTCTATTTCACGCTCACAGTGGCTTCAGAAATTCTCCATGGGGTCATAAACTTGTTGGTATTATGCGTGAGGTATTTTTAACCATATTGTTTGGTTCTTATCACTTGATTCATCCCCAAAAAGACTTAACTATATTTTTATCTGATTACAGGTACGTACGCGATCACCAGTCGTTGGTGGACAATTTGCAGCATGGGGTGGTTTATTTAGTGCGATTGATTGTAGTCTAGTAGCCATAAGAAAAAAGGTTTACAACTTTTGCTTCCACAACTTGTATCAGTTTCATTGAATTTGTTTTTATAATTTTAAAGAATATATCCTAAAAAACTACTTTTTTACGGGAGGAAACATGTTTCTTTTTTTTGTGCTCTTACATGCCATATTTTCATTATTCGTATAACAGGAAGATATGCTCAATCCAATCGTATCCGGTGGGCTGACTGGTGCCCTGCTGGCCGTACGGTCTGGCCCCATGGTTTGTATTTCTGAATCTTCAGAAACTGTTCTTCATGTTTCATTTGTTTTTCGAATCAAAATTATACATTCCTTCATAAATAGCAATAGAACATGTTAATTTAAAAACGAAATGATGAAATAATCTGGAAAAGGTCTATTTGTAGCATAATTTGATAATATTTGCATGTATATGCAGGCTTTATTGTTTCTTGGTTGCAAATTTAATAATTAGTTTATAAGTTTCTAATTGTTGATCACATAATTAGTTTATAGATTTTTAATGGATTTTTCATTCCACCAACTTCCTTAAGATTATTGTGTTGATTGCAGGTAATGGTGGGTTCAGCAGCCGTTGGAGCGGTAATAGTGGGTATGATTGAAGTAGCGTCATTAGCAGTGGGTAAATTTGCTGGTATGATGTTGAATCCGAATGCTCTGCAACAACATGAGTTGGAAGATCCGGCAGTTTTAAGCGCAAAGCAACACCAAAAGCATGGAAACTCTGGAAATAGTTCTAATTCTAGTGTTTCTGGAGATGCTTCTGCTTTTCCATTTTCATTAACTCAGCCTTATTAACCTCGTTAAGTAGCATTGAGTTGAATTATCAAGTTTGCAATGTCATGTTTCCGTTTGTTATTATATAATCATTTTACGTAGTTTAAGGCTATTTTGCGCTTACTTTGTATGATGAAAATGTTATTTCTTCATACAGAGTGAGTCTTTATGTGCCGTTCTAGGAAAGATATTTAATAGAGCTTCCAACAACAAAAAAAAAAAACAGAAGAAAATGCTTGTATATTTTCACTAAACTTTTTGAAATGCATAAACTATTATTGCTTGAAGTGCGGGACTATTTTTTTTCCGGTTTTTGATAAGTAATTGGTTGCTTTCTATTATTTTGTCTTTTTGAATGCAATGAAGTGAATTTTGTTTTCCTCCTTTCTGAACAATCTTTCAGAAGGATGGTTTTATATCAGTAATTTATATCAGCTATTGACAGTTACAAAATTTAATTTTTGTGGTGGTACTTAATAAAATAGTGATTATTCCTTAAATAAATGTATACCATCGATTGTGTCAAGATTTGGCGTAGTGATGAATATTTAAACGTACATTGTGATTTATATTTTATTTCTTTATTCCTACTCTGTATACTATCAAGGGGAGGTTCCAAATTTCAGGATATCGGTAGGTGCTGTCTCTTCATTTAAAAGGAACTTAATTTCTTCCTGGTCATTCCAATATTTTAGAACAGGTTAATAGATAAGTTCTTTGATTCGCGATCTAATTTGGGATTAATAGATCACTTCTTTCAGAAAATAAATAGTTGCTAAAACACAATGAAGAGTTGTACAATAGCTCTGGCGTTATTTATGTTTGAAATAAACTCATTAATATGCACGGCGTTCGTCTTAATTTGTTTTTGTTTGAGATGATTTATAGACAGAATAACGAGATTAGTCAAATGAGAATAATATAGAAGAAATGACAACGGCAGCACATGTCGATGACGCATCTCCAAGTCAGTTATTGAGCTGGCTATCCATTCTTGCGGTCGGAACTACATTGTGTCTTTTTTTAACGGGTTTGGAGATATGCTGGCGTATATGGGTGCGTTTTTCCCATTTTCGAATAGTGCTAATTTAGTTCATTGATGGTTTATTTGGAACGAGACAAACAGCTCAAACTGAAGCAATATCGTTTTTTTATTGAGTGACGTCTACAACTTTCGGATGCAGGGAGAGAAGCTATATACTGCTTACGGATACGTAAAAAAATTTTAGAGTAAGAGGCAGCTCGATTCGTTGAGGGAATTTAGAAATATTTTGGCCAGAAGAATTCCAAAGATAATATTTGTCGCGATTTCCTTGTTAATCTGTTTTGTAAAATTGTGGATTTTCAAAAAAGAAAGTTATATACTTATTTATGGGGGTTCGAAGGAATTAAAAAAATTCAGATTTGATCGGTGCTTAAATTATTTCAGTCTCAAGGGACAACAAATGGTATTAGTTCGGCCCCATTTCATACAGGCTTTCTTTCTGGACAGCTATGGTTACAATATGGTTTCTTAAGACATAACAAGGTATTTTTCAAAATTAAAAGTCCCGTTTTACATCAAGACGTTTCCTACTTATGGGCCAAGACAGTGTAGTTTTCTGAACGATTTTTTATTGAAGAATTAGATCATTTGCATGAATTCAATAAGAAGTGGAAAGCAGTGAATCTCAGTGAATTTGACTTACGTTTCAGACTATGATATGTGTCAATTCAGTGGCTGCATTGCTCTATTCATTATATATTTTTTATTATTTCATAATGGCACCGTATGCTACAAAGGTTGGTAACTGTGGCTTAACACTGATTAATGCGAGGAACGAAATCCAAAAACTTTGGTTTTGAATGTGATATTGTCAATTATAGAACCGTTGCATCAGATTAATTTTTATGGAAATGATATTTTTGATGAGTGCACATTATTATATCCACTATTATGGCTTACCAGTGGAAATGGTTCTTTCATATTTGGGAATGTCTTGTGTGGTATTCAATGTACTTACTGTTGCCGCTCCCTTGGAAGCTTTGGTAAGCAAAATGAAACTATTTTTCCTTATGTCACCATTTGGAAAAAAATTTTGGAGTTCCCTCGAGACCAATTCTGAAATTTATGAATTCTAGCGTGAAGTTTTCCGTACGCGTTGTACGGAAACAATGCCATTGCCCCTTTGTTGTCTAACACTTCTTGTAACAGCGGAATGGCTGCTGTATGGAATTCTTATTGATGACATTTACATACAGGTACTTGTTTTTTGCATGTTGAATTTGTCGAAGTTAACTCTCCCGTTAATCAATAATTGTAGAAGATAATGATGTCGGCTGGGTGCAGAAAATATCAACTAAATATATTGTGCTTTATACAATCAGGCCTAAAATTCTCGAGACCTTTCAGTAATGGAATGCGTTTCAGGTACCCAACGCTATTGCATCGGTGATCGCATTCCTCCAGTTATTACCTTTTCTTTATTTTCCCCGGAATAAGCAGATAGCTACTGTCACTATTCCTTGAAGCACACTACATATAAGCAAAGTTGACTTATTGTTTTGTCAGATTATATAAACTATTGTGTCGGTTTTACGGAAATTGAAATTGTTAAGATTATATAAGCTATTATGTCGTTTTTACTTGCGCTCGCTTCTTCGAAGCAGATTTTTGTATGTGTTAATAAACCAATGAGAAATATAAACCTAAATCTAAATCTTATTGAATCATTAAGTGCTACTTCGGCTTTGATTCTTAGCACAGTTAAAACTGATATCTCACAGCATTTCCTTCCTATGTTTGTTCATTTATTAAACTTTTTCTGACGACAAACACAGCTTACGCATAAATCTGTTTCTGATAAATGCCGTTATGTGAGAGATATCTATAATCGGGGATTCATCTGATATTTGCATTAAATTTTGCTCTAACTGCTGGTTTGCTTTCTCTATAACTACACTTGTTTGTATTTATTTATTTTAGAACCATCTTTTTATTGTTATTGCTTTTGAAGATTTGTCAAATATGCTGGTGACATTTATACTGTCCGTTTATTTGCTGTAAAATTCATAAATTACCGTTTCTTAAGCAACACCAATTTTAATTTAAAGTTGCAGAATGTAACCGGAATCAAAAATCCCTCAAGGTAGATAGAATAGATGAATATTAAAAAAAAATTTTGGAAAAGGAATCCAAGAATTATCTCGCTTATTCTTCAGCTTCAAATTATTCTCCAAGTCATTTATTTTGGGATGATCATTACATATATCATTAAGTAAAAAAGTAAACACAACTCAAGAAAAAAAAAGATCAAGAAAAAAAAAGATCAATAACAAAAAATAGATCAATAACGAAATAAGACTGCAATCTAAACCTCAGATAGGTTTGATCTTGAAATGCATGCCAATCAACGAGAAAACCAGACATTTGAGGTCTTGTACAAGATAGTAGAAGGATCTCAGTCCTTCTGGGTCCCTGCTTTTGTTTACGTCTGCAGCGGAACCAATTTTGCTGAAACACATTAATACAGGGCCTGGAAGTTTTTCAATTCGATCTGATTTTACGCAATAAAGATCAGGAGATAGAAAAACGTATCCAATCAGTTGCATGACATGTGCTGTCATGTGTGCTATCATGACGTTTAAGTCTCCTTGAGTATAGCCTTCATTCGTCCAGTAAATTTAATACATAATTTACATACCCCATTCAATTATGAGATGTTAATACAAAATTTTAGCATTAATCGATATGCCAGCAGTAATATCTTCATCATCAAAATAACAGCAGAATGATCAGAATACTGTTGGCAAAACGTGTAAAGAATGTTACCTTGTAGTAAAAGATATATGCTCATCATTATGGAGAATTTCCAGTTCTTGTCTGCCAATGCGATCCGGTTCTGGCCAAGTTGCATCATCTTCCTATAATAATTATTTCAAATATTAAGCATGAAGCTGCAATTAATATTAGGATAAGAAAGGGAATATCCCTTAGGAAGATAGCAACTCGGACTGCATATAATTGGGCGGTTTAAAATTCCCAAGCGAAGCTCAATACCTAGAATTAAAAAACGGCTTGCAAATAGATGAAAGTAGTGTGGTGGTGCATGATGGGAGAATTTTGGAAAATATACCGAGTGAAAACATGATCAAGAAAATAAGGATGAAAAAAACTGTTGAAAGCTTTACATTTAGTGATAAGCACTAAGCAAAAGCTTGAAATAATAACCATAGATATATGATGCATGTCGAGAGTATCCTTTTTGCAAAGGAATACCAGATAATATGAAAATTAGGTACCTGCATGATTTCCGAATATGAAAATTAGGTACCTGCATGATTTCCGAATCATCGATAATACGCTTTAGTTCTTCGACAACAATTTTACCGACATATGCTTCTTTTCGGATCAATGTGTCATTCTTGTACTGACTGTTGTTTGCATACCGCATCTTGCCATCCGGACGGAATTCAAATTCCAGAAACTCATGGCCAAACTTCCCTTTGTGGCCAACATAGTAACGCAAGTAGAAATCATTCAGATTATCACCTGACATCCTAAAATCAATTAGATTTCAGATACTCAAAGCATAATCCAATCCAGCATGCAACCAGTCACCATCCACAGCAATCTTTCACAGCCATCCTCAATGAAAATCGGACATTCCATTTAAATATGGACAGGATGAAGTGGGGGGGATAGGTTACCGTGGATGATTTAGAGGGAATAGGGTTGCGATAGCAATGCTAGGTGTGAGATATCTCAAGGTTGAATGTTACCTTGTAAACTAAGCTTGGCCTGTGAAATGTCAACGAAATTCATTTTGTTATAATTAGTTGGAATTCGTTGTATGGATGCACGAAATATATAATGGAATGACAAGAGAAAAGTGTGACTTTTAGATGTTCATTCTATATTAGAAGTGCAGTTTAGAAGAAGTATGGGAATACAAAATATTTGGGACTATTAGAGAAGAATGAATTATTATGAATTTAGACAAACTTCCTTGGCACTCATAAATAAGTGATACGATAAAATAATATTTGCTTGTCTGGAATGGGAAAAAAAATAGGATCCAGTCAAGTTTCATTGTAATTCAGATGAATTTTTTTTCGGATTTTATTTTAGATTGCATTTAAGTGGCTATTTTTAACAATGTCAGGTATGGTTGTTTTTAGAAGTGTAACGGTCGATGTGTCCAATGAAAATAGTTAATTCAAATTTTTTCATTATAGTTATTCATTGATCTGATATATATATCTGTTATTCATTGATCTACTGATATTTCTTATATTTAAAGCAGGAAAATTATTTTAAATTGAAGAAATTAGTGAAAGCTATTACTGTTTCGTATTTGAGTGTATGCTGGCTGTTTGATAACGATAATAAAGTAGTAAAAATTGATATTCTAGTGATTCGTATCGGCTATTTAGAAGGAATCGATATAAGATTTCTGCAAAATTTTTATAGAGTATTCGAAAGATTTTTCTGTGGAGCGTATATTTAAGTAATTGTCAATTTTATGATTATTAGCGCATATTGTTACTGGCATCTATGGTAGATTACGAGTCGAAAGATGTGCCTATTAATAGTTTTTATCACTTTTCAGTTTTCGAGATAATACTGGTATGGCCACATTACTGGTTTCAACTTCACTGGCCGTACAGATCCAGAATATACGTCTACCATCAATAACTAACATAAGAAATGAACTGAATTTAGGAGGACGTCCTCCTGCTTGTCAACTTGCCTCTGCACGATGTTTCAGCTCACTCAGTGAATCCTTATTTCAAGTTCTTCTTCGCGGTATTTATTTTAGTTATTAAAGAATGTTCGTTTTGCTTTTAATTTTATAATGCATACTTTTGGCTTTATAAAGCAGTTCTGATGGATCATAATTTACGTTTCATTATCCGTCGTGAATGCTGCAGATATTTATGTGCTCTTTTTCGCCAAAATCTTCGAATTCAATCTTCGAATGAAGCAGATGTCAGTGCGGTCGAATTACCCTTTAAGTTTTCTTGTTAAAAAAGATGTATTTCATTTGTTTTTCTCATCCATAGATAATCTGAACAATGTTGCAGAAAATCGAATGTGCGCATTGAAATGTAAACAAAAAAAGTCAGTAATAACTTTGAGGTTGGAGAATTCACTCAGTCTGATTTATTTGTCAAAGTCGCAGTTCTGTTAGTTTTTTCTTTCTTATTTCAAACATTGAATTGATTTCGAAACTCTACTCTTTAATTTTCTCTACTCTATGAATTATTTGATGTAGGTAAAGATGTCTTGTAAAAGAAATAAAACGATATACACAGAATAACACTGCAGAATGCATCACTTTCATTAAATGAATTCTGTTCATGTATATAAGGTTATTATTGCAACAGTTGATATTTTCCAGATATGCAGAAACGAGGTTTTCGGACACAGCGGTTGGAAAAAGTAGAGAAACCAAAAAAAGGATTTTTTGCGATTTTGGGCATCAACGCTCTTGAGGTTCTGTTTATTTCGCTCCTTTTTTCTGTCAATTTATTAACTAAGGGACTTAAAATGAATGAAAACGGCTGATTTCAAGTGGATTTTTGTCATCGCTGTCTGTTTTTTGATTTTTGGGTGATCCAGCATGCAACCCTGTTAGGTTATCATCTTGTACAAAATCGACCAGCTGGATAGATTATTAGTAAAAGATAAGGTACAGAAAAAATTGTAAGATAAGATAGAAGCCCAATTTCTAGTTGCAAAAATTTTTTGAAATGGTGTTCTAGTATTTTTTTCAATGACTTCATTTTTAACATCCAGTATTATCCATTATCTGCAATAGCATAGAAGAAAAGGAGTGGATACTTTGGAACTTTTTTAATTTAAACGAATGTCTAGTGAATAGTGACTACTATATGGATATATGAATTATATGAATTTTTTGTAATATATTTTATGCGAAGCTATAATATAATGGATTTTTGTTTCTACAAATAAGAGAAAGCGGGCTGCATTTTCTTTATGGATTATTGTAGCAAATCCTTTTTTAGAGCGTTAGGCGAAAGAGCCCGCAAACAAAAGCTTTTCGGGAAAAACTGAAGGCAGTATCCGATAATGATAGAAAGGGTTTTCTAGTATGTCATCCTTTTTAACTTAATCTCGAAATTTAATTTTAGAAATTTTCTAATTTCTTGCATTATGAAAGTTATTGTTGCAGAGAACTGGTTCTTGTCTTGTAAACCTAAAAACTTAAAATTTGAAGTAGATTACATACTAGTATAATAAAATTGTTCTATAATTGCATATTAAAAGCTTAAAATCTGAAATTTTTTGTCTGTTATAGGAAGGGTATATGGCTGCTTTGGATTATTCAAGTGAACAAAAACAGAAAAGATCATTAGTCCGAACAGTTCTTTTTTCAGTTACGGTAGTTGGTTTGGGATTTTGTAAGTTTTAAAGTCATATATCTAATTATCTTATTCCAGTGATGGATGATTAAACTTGTTGTCATGTTATTATCTTTTTCTGGTAAGAATGACTATTCTCTAAAGTTACATATATTTGTTATTTTTCGTTAGTTGGAGTTCAGTAATTGTTAGGACCTTCTGCTAAATGTCAGCTCATTTTGTTTCAATTCTTTTTCTTTTTGTAGATTGTTCTGATTTTATGATAAGTCACATAAATTTCAAAGTAATTTTTCAGATATCATATTCAAGTCGTTTGGTATTTCACAGACGTCTCTCTTTACTTCAGTGGAAGAAGTTGATCCAGAAATGATCGACGTTACATTCAAAGACGTTCGTGGTGTGAGTACATTATTTTCCGCTAAATTTTTTATTCTTTATTTTCTGTTTTCGTACATTTTTCTATGTTCAATAATTAAAATTTTAGGCTGATGAAGCGAAAAACGAATTACGTGAAATTGTATCATATCTTCGAGATCCAGAGCGATACACGCAGCTGGGTGCACGTCTTCCAAAAGGTGTCCTTTTGGTTGGCCCTCCTGGAACAGGCAAAACACTTCTGGCAAAAGCAATTGCTGGGGAAGCTCAGGTAACGATACTAACGAAATATACCTGCGATTGAAACTGATGAATTCTGGACTTCAAAATGTTAAGAGAACATTAGAGAATAATTCCTTCACAGTTTTATCATTATTTCTGTTTCCGAAATCTGAAAACCTTTTCGCGTTTTAATTGCACTGATTTTAAGTGATAGCTCGAGTGAATATTCAGAAATACTCTGGTTCAGCATTTCGTATTTTGCAACATAACATCTCTAAAAGCACCTATTGAATTCAATTTTAGGTGCCTTTTTTCCAAGCATCAGGCTCTGAATTTGATGAATTATTTGTTGGACAAGGAGCGCGTCGCGTGAGAGATCTTTTTGGTAAGATAATTAGAAAAATTGACACATAGGGCTAGGAATGTATGTTTTGGGCCGAACAATTTTCTTAATGGGAAATATGACAAAAATTTGATGAAGGGCACAAGTTTAGGATCGGTTACACCTCTTTTTGGATATATGTATATTCATCCTTATGTCTGTGCAATAAACATTCTCAAAAATTAAATAGATTAGACAATGATTTTTTTAAAAAGTTTATTTTACTTTAGCTCGTGCAAAGGAAAAAGCTCCTTGTATTATTTTCATCGATGAAATTGATTCGGTTGGTTCGAAACGAGTAGCCGATGCCATGCATCCTCATGCTAATCAGACAGTCAATCAGGTGTGGTACCGTTCCATAATGTTTAGAAAATATACCCTTATATAGTGCTTTCATAAGTAGTAGGTTGTCGAATATGGAAATATTTTCAATTTTTGCAATGGGATATCAATATTCTTTAGAGGTTCACGAATTTTGTTGCTCAAAAACTATTATGCTTGTCACTTTTTTTGAAAATCATAGCATCGAACTGAGAAAATGGTGCTTATATTTAGCTTCTTTCCGAAATGGATGGATTCAATACAAATAATGGTGTAATCGTTATCGGAGCTACGAACCGAGCCAAAGATTTGGATCCAGCTCTTCTTCGTCCTGGTCGTTTCGACGTTCAAGTTCAAGTTCCTTATCCTGACTTAGAAGGGCGCAGAGAAATTATACAGTATGCTTTTTCTTATTTTTTCCGATTTCATTTTTTTATTACCTTCTGCATATTTTTTGAGCATTGTTTTTTTAAGGTTGTACTTAAGCAGAATATCAACTAATGATGACGTAAATGAAGATGTACTAGCTAGAGGAACCACAGGATTTACTGGAGCCGAAATTGAAAATATGATAAATCAAGCAGCTCTTAAAGCGGCCGGAGATGGATTTATGAAAGTTACTATGGCACATATGGAAGAGGCGAAGGATCGCGTTATGATGGGTGGGTTTTGATATTTAAATTTTAAATTTGGCCTATTATTGATATTTTTTTATTCAATCTTTTATAGCATTCTTCGATTAAGATAACGCATTTATAGATGCTTTGCGCTCAATGATCTATCATGATCGGAATTTTTAAGAAAAAATATAATATATCAGGTTTTTTTTCAGGGCCGGCACGAATTCGTGGCCGACTGCCGGATGAGGAAGCCAATCGCATTACTGCTTTTCATGAAGCAGGTCATACTCTTGTCAGCATTTATACTAAGCATGCTATTCCAGTTCATAAAGTAACAATTATACCAAGAGGCGGCTCATTGGGACATGTTGGTTTTTAACTTTCTTTATATAAAGTTTTGCGTGGAATAATCGTTGTAGTATTATTATAGCTTTTTTTGCGGAAGAAATTTTTAAAACGTTGCAGAACTGATCATCTGTTTATGTGTGTCTGTCTCTTTTAGATATGTCTCTTTTTTATAGACATCTATGTTGCCGGAAAAGGATGAATATCATGTGAATCGGGCTCAAATGTTGGCACAGCTAGATACTTTAATGGGTGGTCGGGTAGCTGAGGAACTTATCTTTGGTCCAGAAAAAGTGACTACTGGCGCCGGTGATGACTTAAAGAAGGCAACAGATATTGCAAAAAAGATGGTCAAGACTTTCGGAATGAGTGATAAGGTTATTTTATAACTTGCGATATAAACCATGGTCTAATTTGATTTTGTCTTTCTATAGAATCAGTCATTTTTCTCAACTTTTTTTGGAAAAATTATGGAACTTTTTTGCGAGGACTGACAAACTTTAACCTCTTCAAGTAAAAGGAATACTTTAATCAAACTTCGTTCAGAAACTAAAATTTTAAATGTGATGAATTGCGGGAAAAAAACGATCGGTGGATGATCCTTCTAACTGGACTTCTTTTAATATGTCACCAATTGTAGTCTTTGAAAAATATCTTCAAACTGTTTCTAATTGAGTTGTTTTTTTTTTATTTTGGAAATTGCTGATGGGTAATTCATTTATCACTTTAGGTAGGCTTGAGGATTGCGGATGACGAGCCGAGATCGCTGATAGCTGATAATCAGTTGAGCTCACCGCTGTCAGAAATGATTGATAAAGAAATCAGCCGCTTATTGAAGGAATCATACGGACGTGCAAAGGATATACTCATCAAACATAAGGTATAATTCTATAGTCTTACATTCAAAATATGTATTACTTGTTTGGCTTGTTGTTTGGTATTGGTGAAATTTGAGAACGAATGTCAGGTTTGTACAAAAGCTATGGATGAAGCCATAGTTTGTCGATTACTGAAATCAGCAAGCAAATGATTTTAAGAGTCGAGTTTTATAACAAAAGATTTTTTCCTGTCTTTTGATTTTTTTACAGTTTTCTTTTGCAGAAAGAACACGAACTTTTGGCTGCAGCATTACTGGAACATGAGACGTTATCAATAGAAGAAGTGAAAGAGTTGCTTCAAAATGGCAAGCTACTTTCACATGCTCTATCAAAACAGGAAGAATCGAAAAGCAGGAAATCATCCATGCGATCTATTTATAAAAATGCAAGTGTAATTATAACACCGATCGATGAAACTATTCCAAAGGAAGAAAGGCAGATCTAACAGATAAATGTAATCGATAAATGCCGTTTATTGGTCGATGGCAAATAATTTCACTTCAGCTTTTAACATATTTTATTCATATTTTTTATGGATTTATACTTTTAGGTGACAATAGCGCATAAGTTTACTCAAATTGTTCTTTCAATTTAATCATATTTAGATTACTGCATTCAAAAACACAGTGACATACATCACAATTTGTATATGCTGTTTGCCAACTAGTTCATGACCTATTTTAAAAGTAAAATTGCAATTGTTTAGACTCTCAACTCATTCAGAAGATTGATAGACGAGGAAGAAGGAGGGAAAAGTGGAAAGGATGCTATGGAGTTTCTAAGTTATTTGACTTTACTTTCAGCATTCATGATGTTATAAATTGTACATAGTTATCTATTATTTAAATTTTCAACTATTCTTTACTTTTGTAAGGGCATCTGTATTAGTCGATGTGTGTTCTTAAGATTATTTTCATTACTAGAAAATTAAAAAGAAGAATAAGAAGCGGTGAAATCTTTCATATAATCAATATTTTGCTGAATTCTATGATGCCATAAGAGTTTTATTTGATTGCGCTACGTAATGCTGTTTAATTATGGTTCTAGTGTGACTACTTGCTGTTTCGATTTACTCAGATAGGAGTCAAATTTTACGTTTAAAAAAATTCCTATCATGAGTATTGTTTCGCTGATTGATTGAACAGTATGATAAGTGGTATGAATGTTGTAAAATAATGCATTACATGTAAGGCGTAATTGTATTGAAAATATAATATCTCATCCACCCTGTCATATTAAATAATGCCGATTATGAGCTTAAATTGCAATGACCCAGGGATTGCAATGAGCTTAAATTGCAATGACCCCACCCAGGGATTTTATTTTCTGAAAAATTGTTCGGTTTTGATAACTCATGGCTGATACCGATCTAAATGATCAGGTCAAAGTCCCTGTTGTTATGACTTGAAGCGAAATTTCTGGAACACCCAGCATGGAAAAATCAACAATTACAGAATAATAGGAAGAGTGATAGAAAATATGAAATTATGAATATTTCGTGTATTTTATCGATTACTTTCGGTTATTCTGATTACATGCAAGTAATTTACTGCAATATATTGTTGAAGTTGGGTTGGTAGCTCATAACCGCAATGTTAATGAGATGTTTACTTTATAAGGTAGTTGTTAAAGACAAATTGGAGCTAGAAAGTTGAAATTAAAAATTAATTAAGTTGGATACCCGTTTTGAAGCACTTTGTTCCAATGAGTAGTGTAGTGTTAATCCAACGGATAAATAACTCACGTTTACTATTTTCGTCCTCTGCATTAAATTTAATTTTTATTTTTATGATTGCACTCATTTGCTACTGCCTTGCTTGTGGGCATACTCATCTACTTGTTGCATTGAATTAGCAAAGGAATATTTATTCATTTACTTTTTTTTTAAATGTATTTGATGAAATTCAAAAATCACTGAACAAAATTTAAAATTTGATAACATCATGAAATGACGTCGAAAGTTGTAAGTCTAAGTTGTAAGTGAAGTATAGACTAAAACTGAAGTTTTATTAGACGATAAAAAACGGTTAAAGACGAGTCTTTTTCAAATTGTGATATTAAAAAATGAAATGAATGGAGGATATGTAAGATAGCTTACGATTTAACTGATTTAAAAATTGTGAATATTTTTACGATAGCCTAGACAATTAATATGTTTAAATCCTGCGTAAAAAGAAATCACAACATTCATTTCTGTCGTGCAATGGATTAATATATTTTATATTCGGAAAGAAATGGAAAATTATTGGATGTTTTAAAAAGTTTCCAACCTTGATGATATTTATATGTAAGATAATATTATTGAGTGAAGCAAATTAATAAAATGGTTAGAGGATTTTTATCATATTCAAAATTTCAAAATTAACTATTACTCTCATAATTATTAGATTTTAATGGAATTGAGAAGTAAATTTTAAATCGCAATAGTATCATACATTTTACAAACAATTTTCAAAGGCAAAAAAGCAACAGGAAAACGAAGAGATTTTCAAAATCCTTTTTTTCCCTTTTTTTTAATAAAGCATTGGCAAATTTTGAAATCATTTGGAAAATTTTTTTGAGAAGAGAGGGTATGAATGAATGATAGAGTACCTTTTAAAGAATATAAGAAGGTATGAAAAGGCTTATATATATTGTCAACAACTGAAATAGAAATATATATATATGTAAATATAAATACATGTATCTATCTATATATATTCATCCATCTATCCATCCAATTATAGATAGATATATCTATGAGAATTTCATTGATTTTGAATGAAAGGAGTAAGGAAAGAGTGATTATTGAAAAGATAAAAGAGAAGGATAGCCAAAGGGATGAGATAATGAATGGTCGAGCATATTTTCAATATCCTCCCATGCCATCCATTAAAGCTTTGTTATTCCATTTATTAATGAATTCATTTCTTTCTTAAATTCTTCCTGAAATAATATTTAAATTATAATTTATAAAATTTAAAATAATTTTAACTGATTGGAAAAACAATTAATTCATTTCATCTTAACATTTCTGAATATTTGGCAAGTACGATATTATTAACTTCCACATTATCAGAAAATAATAATAACAATCCATTATGTTCATTATAATATAAAGAAGTATAATGTAAGAAGTTTAATTTAAATAAAATATTCTATCGAAGGTATAAAAATTTTTTAAATTACACGTAGAATAGTTTATGTCTGCCGGAAAATTTTCTGCGCCTCTTTTATTTGCTATTTTCGGTGATGAAAATGTCCTTTCTATGATATTTTCAAGTCACTAATTAATTAATTTTTATTAATATAAAAATTTTTTCACTTATGCAATGATAAACGCTAATTAAAAATGATCGTACTGAGCGGATCGATCTGTTTTTTTTCCTTACAAGAAATTAAGAATTTCATTTAGTTAATTGTCTAATAATTCAAACAAATGGAAATGAACAGATATGAGGCAGAACATTACTAATATCACTAATTAAATATAGTGAAATTATCAGTACACATCGTTGACTGTAAATTTTCACGCATACTTTCACATATCGATCCAAACAAATTGTAAATATCACAATGCTTTCACGTTATTTTGCTTCTAACACACTTTTTATTATTATTAAATTTGCATTTTCAAATGCAAATAGCAATGTTGCATCGGCTTCTCTGTGATTTCAACAAGCAATGTGATGATACTAAAAGATTTCATACAACAAAGCTGAATTAAAAGATGCTAATTGCAAGACATTAAAATTTGTTAAATCAATATCAGTTAATAATACATGTAATCTATAATTGATAAGTGACATATTATTCATTTATCATTCACTCATTTATTTAATTTCAAAGTTTTTTAATCAATATTTGCTATTTATTTTGGATAAAACTTTATACATAAAGCTATAAATAAACCCATTGCATATTTCAATTCCCTTAGTGCTTGATAAATTCGTTACATTCTGTCTCAGACTTAGTATGGAAAAGAAAGAGAGAAAGTATTAGTTAAATTGTGGAAGTGATTCTAAGTAAGGAGTGGAACCACATTATTTGTGCTTTTCATTTCTAACACTTTTTTTTAATAACAACTTAGAATTGCAATACTAAAAATATATATTCATGATGGAGGATAGCTATAGTGAGTTTGAAATTAGTCAACTTTAAGTAATTAGCTTATATAATTGAAGGTGTTCAATTAATCTATTATTGTTATGCTATATTTTCACAAAATGAATGAATGCTGATGATATTTTTTTAGTTTAAGAAAACATCGAATTGTATAAATTTAAATTGCAAATTTGAAATAGAAGTGAAATTTCTATTTATAGGAGTGATGACGAAATCGTCTGCATATTGAGAATTCAGCAACGATTTCTGGCTGTATATGGGCAGTAGATGCTCAAGGAGAGCGCCAAGTCCAATAACGTATCCGAAGCTTTCTGATTTCCTTATCATACGTTTCATTGGTAGAGGTGCATTCGGCAAGGTTTGCTCATTAAACGTTTTCATTTTCAGCCCTTCTTTGATATCAAAAATAATTGTTTTTCAGATTCTGAAATATTAAAAATGTTTGAAGGCTTTTATACTCTCTAAAAGTGTGTAAGCAATTCAAAAGCTTAAATATTTTCAACTAATTATATCGAATTTTGTGAAATTCGTAGAAAAATCTTTAATTGTTTTCACTCAAAGATTTTCTCTTAAAGATGAAACAATAGATGCTTTCTACTTACTTTTTAATTTAACTTTTACAATTAATTACGTTGAATAGCTGAAAGAGTTTTTTAAGGTATGCATTGCACAATATCGTCGAACAAAAAAATACTATACATTTAAATGTATAAATAAAAGACGCTGTGTTCAGTATATGATAACTGACAGCGTTCTACATGAATTAAAACTATTAGCACATTTATCACATCCTTTCATTGTTAATTTATGGTTTACTTTTCAGGTAATTTTTAACTTTTCCAATGTAAAAGAGGCTATTTTTTGCTATCAAAATTGCTGTGCAAAGGTTATCGGTCATCATTTGATAAGATAAATATGCTTTAGCTGTTAATTCTATATTTAGAAGGCTATGATTTAGATATTAATTCTGTTAATGTAAGTAAGATTCAAGCATTTCAAATTCATTTTAAAAATTAATATGTTTAGGATAAGCATTATATGTATATGGTAAGCGATTTACTATTAGGTGGAAATCTAAGATATCATTTAAATCAACAAGGACGATTTGCCGAAGATCGGTAAGATTTCAGTTATTTATAATTTGGTTGTTTTTCATCTTACTTTGTATAATTCTTTTAATTTTTCTTTTTTTCCGAATAATTAAATTGGTGGGATAATTACATCTATGAATCATCTATAATAAACAAAAATAAATAATTAGATTGATAATCAATTCTACGTTAATGGCATCTCTTCTTAATCATAAGAAACAACACAGCAGAGGATATCAATGGATTGTAGGAAGATTTTTGTGACAAGTTTTTTTTCTTTTTTTTTGTCTGATATAATTACTGATATGATAATTTATTACAGTTCAAAGTTGTACGTTTATGAGATAGCATTGGCGTTGGATTATTTACACAGAGAAATGATAATACATAGAGATGTGAAACCAGAAAATATTTTGTTGGATGATGAGGGACATGCACATCTTAGTGATTTCAATTTCGCTACACATCTTACTCCCAATACTTATGCTACCTCATTCTCTGGTTAGTTAAAATTTTTATCTTACTTCACAATTGCCTCGTTGAATCTGCAATCTACAACTTATTACAATTCCAATCGTTCATGTTAACGTTACGGCATGACATGACCCGCAGAGCTAATAGTCAAACGATGGTATTTTATTTATCCGATTTTATTTATGAAATTTGATGAATTCCAATACTTTTTCTTGATAATGTGAAATGATTACAGGTACACGGCCATATATGGCACCAGAGATTCTGCTTTGTTCTCTAGGTTACTTAGCTGGCTATGATCATCGTGTTGATTGGTATTCTCTTGGTATTTGTTTTTATGAAATGCTCATGGGACGAAGACCCTTCGAATATGCTGTCGATTCATCTTCAAGACAGGTTAATAAACATTTTACTTGACACTTAGTAAAATGTTCATTAACTTGTCTTGAAGTAGTATTAGAAGTGTTAAGACCGTACAATAAGTTCGACTGATGTCAGATTTTAAAGAGGTAGTTAAGAAAGTTTTAATAAGTTTTCATTCCTCAGTTAAAGCAGGCATGTGAAACTAAAAAACATTCTAAATTCAAGCATACTCGTTATTATTAAACATTTCAACAGCTCTAAATTGTAACTGCATTTCGTTAAAAGTTTATAAACTGATTACAATTAAATAACATTAATTTTACTATCAGTGCTTAAAATTTCACGTACAATCTGACATCTTTACGAAGGATCATAAACGTCGCTTCTATATTTCTGCTGCTTCTACTGCGTAACCTATTATTGGTCATAATTTCAGATGCTTTGCTTGATGAGCAAAAGCTTAATAGCGCTGCCGTCTCAGTGGCCTTCAGATCTAATTTCTTTCATTAGTTGCATGCTCAAGTATGAAGTTGAATCTCGAATTGCTTCATTTACAGCCTTCTCCCAACATCGTTATATGGAGAGGATAAATATGAACGATGTTTTCGCCAGGTCATTCAACATCAATTTTGAATCACTTTATCGAAGGCTTTCTTTCTCCTATTTTCCATGTCTGATTTCACTTAAAATTTTGAAAATTTTTATCGTTAATTTTGTTTTCTTTTCAAAGCACATGTTTTTTTTCTCAAATGCAAAGAGAAACAATTTCAAAATTTTTTATCATCGTTGAAAGGTGGGCGATTTAGGAAAACAGCTCCGGTTTTTATACCCCATTCGGATACATTAAACTGCGATCCGACTTATGAATTAGGGGTGGGCATTCTTGATATCTCACCAATGAATCGCCAGCGCGGTCGCATGGTTAACTCTAGGGAGGAAATCGAACAAAAAGTAAACGAATTTACTGAAGCATTCGTTTCATATAATCGAGAATGCCGAATAAATGAAAAGGTAACAAATAATGTTATTCAAATTGCCATAGAGTCTCTCAACTGAAACAAACAATTTATACAGCAGTTTCACTTATCAGTTCTAACTCTAAATTTGAGGCAATCGTCATCCTTGACCAATATAAATACAGATATTTTAGAACAAAATTTATACTTGTAAATTTTTGTTGTAACAAACAAAAAATGCTACTTTAAAAGAAAAGTTTAATATTACCTATCTCAGTAATATTTGCGTATTATTTATCATCATTGTATCGCGTATCATATCATCAGAAGTTGATTATTTCTAAATGAATAGTTTTTCAGGAAGAAAGAAATCAATTGAAAGCATCATTATTATAAATGATGTGAAATTCGCCAGGTGCATTATGATATCAAAAGAATATGTAGTATCCTCAACAAATATGCTTTTAAGTTTTCAAATTTTTGTTTTTTCTTCTTTCTAATGAAAAAGGCATTGTAAGGATCGGAAGAGAGACAGTTGGCAGTTTTGGAATATTATTTCATTATATGTTTTTAGCCAAACAAAGAGCTCTAAAATTTTTGAAGTCCTTCCAATGCAACCACTATAAACCAGTCAACAACTATAAATCTACTCATATATAAATTAAGCAAAAACTTATTAAAAATTTTCGAAATATTACATTTTGAAATCGAAAACAACAAGATTAAATTGCATTAATCTGTAAATGAAGCCTGGCAAACTTGAATTTTTCTTAAACTGATGTCATAAAAAGTTCTAAGTTATAAATTAGTTTTGCTAACAAACATTTTTGTAATGCCACAATTATTAATTAATTCCCGTTATTTTGCGCCATTTACAGTTTCCAAGATTTTAACCCTCTCTCATTTACAATGTGTGGCTATATAGCTTACAGAGTTCAGAGTTTAAAATACTTACCTTCCAGAAATACTTCATTGTTTCAAATTGTTAAGAAAGAAATCATTCAGTTCATTCCACCTGTTGCTTCTCAAGCTGCTGCACTCAGTCTAAAAGCATCTCCATAATAGCACTATATTTTAAATGAAGATAATAACATAACAATTCATCCCCGTGCTATGCACTTTTTTGCAAATATGTCAGTCCCTCTTCATTTCAGGAAGACGGAAAAATGAATAAAAATGAAATTAAATTTCAGTTATTAGATTTAATAGGAAATTTAATACATTTAATAGAGAAGAAAACTATTTCCAAATAAATAATAGTGAACCAAATAAACAAATTAAAAATGAAAAGCATTTTGTTACGAAGAAAAAAAACAAACTGAAAATAATGAAAATGAATGAAATTTAATAACCCAATATAAAGGTACCACGGTGAAGTTGTATTTAAGTAATTGAAGTCATTCGAAATTCTTTAATTTAAGAACTTAATTTCATTAAGAAAATAGTCAAAGAATTGAAAAGTATTATATTGTGTTCACTAAATTAATTTGAAGTAATAAGCAATAAGAAACAAAATATTATCGTTGTGAGAAAATTTTCTGAAAGAATGTGTGAATAAACCAAATATATGGATATTTGGTAGTGATAAGATATCAGAACGATTGATTAACTCCTAAGCTAGAATGTTGATAACAATAAACATATTTGAACACACTAAAATATCCAAAAATTAATCCATTATTTCATTCATAACCTAACTTGATTCTATCAAGAAAGTGACATTATTATCTTCAGACTAAATGAAGATAATTTTTTGCTTAAATGAAAATTTCATCGTCGTCATTCATTCCAGTGCTATAAGGTCCGTTGATGATAGAGCAGGCTCCATGTAAATTCAGCATCCCAAAATAGAGGAAGTATAATTATCATTGAAATTTAGGCAACAAATTATGCCTTGAACATATATCTGGACATGCAAAAAAACTTCCAACGGATTTCCCGATGGCTCCGAAGATCAGAGTCGAACTATTTATCAAAAGCATTCATTCAGCAGCCAAACGTATTTGAACAATTTTTCTGAAATTTTATAACTTCAGTTAAGATAATGAATTTACTGGAATTTTGATCATATATAATGAAATAAACGAAGAGAGAATTAGAGCGAAAATGAGGTTAATGTAATTTTTCACTTAGAGGCAGTTTAGAGGCATTTTTCCATAATCTTTTCATAAAAATTTTACCTTGGAAGATCAATTTTACCCTTTAAAGAAGCATTAACGATTTTATTCTGTTTCGATTCTTCTTTCACAATATTATTTTCACTTGCAACTTTCGCTAATCCAAATAAAAAGTGGCAGAAGCGCAATTTCTCTATGCTCTATTGTTAAATTCATTGCACGGGAGTGATAAAAGTTCAAATCAAAATATCATGTCCGCATTAATAAGTGTCAAAGAAACTGACGAAGCATTAAATGATGAAAGGAAATGATTTTACCAGGCTTTATTCACTTCTCTAAAGTGTTTATTCTAGATTTTCCATAGAACAGTTATCACCAACGGAACAAATGACGAGATATTGAAGTAAACGAAATTTTCATTTAAATTTTTGTAAGTGAGATAATCTCTCCGACATTTACATATTATAAATTTAACGAAATTTAATCACATTCTTATATCTTTTTCCGTTCTGAGAAGCAATAAGTAAATGAAAGTAATTATTTCCGGTTATTCGCAAAATAACACGGAGAACAGTCAGGAAAATCAATTCCTGATCACCCTTCAATAGATGGACTCACGAAGTATGCTTCAAAAAAACTTCCAGGTGTTATTGTAAATTTTCTATTTTCACATTCCTTCTTTTCTTTCTTTCTTTCGGAAACTGCGAAGTTAGGTAATCAGAAAATACGTAAACATTACGTATACTGGAGAGCTTTACTTCTGCCTTTATAAATTGTCCCCCACTTCCCGCACCAATTCCCATTGGGAAGGCCATGGGTATGGCTAATTTTAATACCTCTGTCCGCGGATAGACATACACACATGTATAATACATATCATATATATCGACATCCACCACCAGAACATCACATCGTAGACACACATATGTAGAAGACACACACAGATACCCAGATACATACCCAAACACATACCCACATGCAGAATTTCCTTCCCGTGCAGATGCGATAGGGGCAGGGCTCGCCCACGGGCAGAAAGGGTTCCCTGTGGAGATTGCTTGCCCGTCGTTGTAGCAGCGTACATCGTACTCGCCATCTACTCGCCCATCCCATTGTCCCTCAACTCTAATTTCATTCGCATCTTTCCTAAACAAATAGAATTTGTGCGTATTTATAGTAGTGTGATGGTTGATGACAATTGCCCACATCTTCCCGTCGTAATTGTGCAGTCGAAGGCCAAAGGGTCAGAACATCATCTCACTTTAGTCTCCTATCGTTTTATACCCCACACATCCGTATTTTTTCTACATCGATGGATCATAACACTTTACCAAATTTACGGATTTGCAAGAAATATCAGTGCAGCCGGAATTTCTGATTAAAATCACTGATGAACGAACATCACTGATCGTTCATCGCATGATTTTGTTCCACCTGCAAAAACAAAAGTGATTGTATTACTGTGATGGTCAAGCGGCACTGGATTAGTATTTGTCGGAAGGCGAAAGTAATATAAACCTAGACTTCGATTACTGATCCTTTAGCATAAGCTGTCATGCTTCCATATGACATTACGGCTCTTAACGCATAAATCTTCCTGCTCTGACCTATAACAATTATTAACAACAGTTATTGCATTTTTTTTTCATGGAAATACTGCGATTATCTTTCCTGTCAAATGAAAAGCTCTCATGCAATAGGTGGAAATAAAAGGTGTCTACGTATTATGGATGCAATGAATACCAGAGCGATATGCACGCGAGCTCGAATGATTCCGGATATGATCACATTCGTTTTCAGGTTTTCGATGATTTCATTAAAGCCATCAACTGTAAGAAATGAAAGGATGAGCATATCATCGCAGCCATTAACACCATTGATAGATTTCGGAGAACCAGAAGAAAAACGAACTCGGCGTAAGCCAAATTTCACGGTGCAAGAGAGGATGCATCTTGCCCAATCATATGTCGAGAATTATGAAGAGTATAACCGGGCAAGTCATTTACGAGCTACTGAATTAGAGGGAGTATTACTGGTATCCGCATATTCGGAAAAAGACCCATCCTGCGCTGAACAGTGCAAATCAGTAACAGTAATGATGAAGTGGTAAAAATCAGTGGAATAAACTGATAGATTAGGGTTAGATTAAAAATTGAAATCAAAAAACATTTTCATAATTATCTGATATGATGATGTTAATGATAGAGTAATGATAATGATGAATAAAATATAGTCTAAGGAAAATAGTCGAATGACGAAAATGTCATATGAGATATTTGCATTTTTAGGGCTTTACACCTACAACGAAAGGGGAAGCTAAAATTGGACGTCAACGTTTGCTCGAACGATGGGCTGCTGAGCTATCCAGTTTTGGTATCGTTGAGCGAACGCCAGTTGAAGTTGAACAGAAAATAAGGTTACATATTTGTAGTTACAATAAATTCTTAGATTTTTCGAAAGAACAATAAATTTAAATTTTTTATAGTTGAACACGATCAGACAGTATGATAATAACGATATGTGGGTGATAACATAACTTTTGTAGAATATTTTATTCAAAAGTTTTTTCAGGGAAGATTTTCCCTCTTGATCTTGAAATTTTATTTACTTGAACCGACTTATTTCTATTATTACATTTAATGACAGGCTAGTTACTAACTTATCAACAATTTTTCGGTTTAGTTGGAATAATCGTATCATATAAAATGGATATTAATAATTAATAATAGTATTTGCATTGAAGCAATAAGATAATGAATTAACAACATAAATATTTGTAGAGATTATATGAAAAAAATAGCAGCGAATCGAAAACGAGCAGTGAAAAGGCCTATGAGTCCTCCATGTCAATTGATAAGTTCCGTTGTATCGGAAAACTCCACAGTGGACGATTCAACAACAGATGATTCACTGACCGCATATGCTGGCTTTCTGCTAGAACAGCATAGAGCAACTCAAAACGATTGCACTGAGTTGGTTATTTAATCTTTTCAGGCAATCTGTTTTTATCAACCAAAAAGATCATACTCTAAGATTATACGAACTTGCTGACTACTGAAAGGTGTATTGTGGTATGTTTTAGAATGTTTCATGACCTTTAGCTTTCTCTTTCAATGTTGTTTATTAATGTCCATAGAATTCCTTCGTCGTTACTACTAGTTTATATCAGTTTAAAAGGAAGTGTTAGTAATAATAAATGATATGGAAAGGAAAGGAAA